GCAGATCTTCTGCACCAGCGAAGAGGCTCAGGCGGCAGCCCAGCCAGGGTACAAGGTTCGAGCAGATCATGTCTTCACGGACGGCTCAGGCGGTGCAGGGGAAACGGCCAAGGACCCCCGCCTCAGACGTTGCGGCTGGGCAGTGGTGGCTTTCAGGTTCGACGAACAAGGACGTCCGCAGGAAGTGGCCGCCTGGTACGGCACGATCAGGGCACCGCACACGGTGCCACGGGCAGAGCTCACCGCCATGAGCAAAGCCATCGGGTGCACCACGGCGGCGACAGCCAGGGGGCTCAACATAGTCAGCGATTGCAAGTACGCCCTGGACGCACTCAAGCAGATCCAGTATCCGGAGGATCTGGACTACAGGAGCACGAACTACGACCTCTGGCTCCAGACGAGGCAGCAGCTGCAGAACAGCACGGACACCATCATGGGCCACCACATCCCAAGCCACCTGATTGAGCACCCAGCCGAGCTGGAGAGGTGGAATGGTCCCACCTGGTGGGTCATAGGAAACGAGATGGCAGACAAGTACGCAGGCTGGGGAGCGGAGCATGGAGCACTGGATCCAGCCATCATCGCGCAGCAGCAGATCAGGGACCAGATCACCACGGCGGTGCAAAACCGGCTGCTGGCCATCAACATGGCGGCGACGGTGGAGGACCCCAACAAGGCCCCTCAGCGTCCCAAGGCCAAGCGCCGAAAGCCGCAGACGGCGAGGGACAGGGCAGCCCAGCTGGGACACGACTTGCGCAAGCTACATCCGCGATGGTGGTGTGCAACGTGTCGCAGTGGCCCAGCCAAAGGACAAAGCATCAGAGATTGGCTGGCAGAGACGGGAGAATGCCTCGGGAAGTACGGCGGCCACCAGGACCAGCACGGCAACGTCAGGCTCGACTTCAAGGCGGTGCAGATCGGCACGCAGGTGGTGCACGTCTCCCACAAGACGCAGTTCACCCATGGATGGCTCTGGTGTGAGAAATGTGGCGGCACCAGCTACCTTGGGGACCACAAGAGCAGGATCGTGGCAGGAGTGGCAAGGAAGCTGGCAAGGCCGTGTCAGCCCCCAACAGCAGCAGGGCGGCGGGTCTTGGCGGACATGCAGAGGGGCAAGCTGCCAAGAGGAGCTAAGCCAGCAGCAGACCCAGCTGATGAGGGTCTCAACGAGATCACCATGCCTGGAGATTTCAAGCTCGGCCTGAGTAACCACGAGGCGATCGACCTGGACGGGGACAGCTCAGAGGCAGGGGACCCGCAGCCAGCTCCACAGCAGCCACCCAGCCATCCGCACTCTGTCGTCCACGCCAGCTGGAGGCTCGTGGACCACATGGAGGGCTACGCGGAGCAGTGGATGAACATGGTCGACCAAGAGGTCTGGGATGACATGGACGACTGGATGGATCACTGCGTACCGTACCTCCTGGCCATCACCAATGTGGGTGGCGGAACGGACACGCAAGAGCAGACCAGGGCCGTCACCGTGCAGGAGCTTCAGCAGATCAAGGACTTCTGCGAAGAAGTCTGGCGCAACACGCACCGCACGCGACGGAGGCTCATGACCAGGATGCTTACCCTCCCGTACGGTACAAGGCAGCAGGCAGCAAGAGTGCACATGGACGCCTTCCAGAACAGAAGGAACAACATCCTAGCGCACAGCATCCCCAGCAGCGAGCGCAGGCCGCTGCCGAGAACAGCGGAGGCCAGCCGAGAGTGGTCACCAGAGAACCTGGACGATGATGACTCGACCCCAGACAGTGAAGCCCCAGAGCTGGAGGGTGAGCCGAGCAACCAGGAGATGGAGACCATGGCAGGACCTGATCAGAGGCACGACGCCAACAGCCTGATGCAGACGGCTGTGCAGGTGGCAGTAACGCTGACCAAGCCAGTGGGGCCCGACCTGATGAAGTTCGTGAGCGAAGCCGATGAGGCCGGCCTGCTCCACCCAAGGCTTCGACACAACAAAGGAGAAGCTGACCAGGACCCCGAGCAGGAGGTGGCGTGGCTCGAGAGGAACAGGCTCGAGCAGCTCATGCAGTCGCTGGCAGGCTGCTGGAGCCAGAAAGAGGGCGAACAGGGCTGGCCATCGTGGCAGGCTGCGTGCGTGCCCCATGTGCTGAGGGCGCTGCAGACTGGCGTCTACCAGAGGCTGTTCAGCAACGTGTCAGGGCCGAGCCGCCAGCGCAGCCAGCGCCGAGCGGCGGAGGAGATCTGCCGCCTGGCATGGCTCAACAGCGGAGAGGCGCGCAGGCAGATCCAGCAGCAGGACCCGAAGGAGACAGAGCGGCGCAGAGCAATGGCTGAGCAGTTCCTGGACGTGACTGAGCCAGTGGTGAGGAGCCGCAGCCCGCGACCGCAAGCAGCAGTGCGAGTGCCAAGCAGGGCTCCAGCCAGACAGCCGAGGAGGAACCCAGAGGCCAGGGCCACCAGCAGCCCCGCCGAGCTGCGCACGGCAACGCCAGCGCCCGAGCTCGAGAGGCCCAGGGAACCCAGGGTACCGCAGCCAGAGCGGCCCCTGGAGGCGGGAAGGGCGGAGGAGCAGCAGAAACCCTCCAGCAGGCCCCTGTGCGGAGAGGGGACAGGCCACCATGGACCCCTGCGCGGCGAGGGGGTAGGCCGCAGAGGGCCCCAGCGTGGCGAGGGGTTAGGCCACAGCCCTGCGCCAGACGGGATGCAGAGGGGTGCCCGTCCCCCACCAGCAGGACGGAGCACCATGGACATGGCAGACCTCGACCACTTCCTTGAAGAGGAGAACAGCGAGGATTGCCTCCAGCAGCCCGTAGACAAGCAGGACAGCGAAGACAACCACCAGCAGATCCCAGATGTACAGCACAGCATAGGGTACCACCTGGCAGACCGCAGAGCACCCCAGCGTGGCGAGGGGTTAGGCCACGGAGGACCCCAGCGCGGTGAGGGGTTAGACCGCAGTGCCAAAGGCAAGCAGAGGCTCGAGGCGGGGGTCCCCGACGAGCCCAGTGAGCATGACGCGGACCTTTTGACCAACAGCGTGGTAGACAGGACCTCGCAACTAACAGAGCGGACCCATACCCTGGGAAACCGACAGACTGAACGCGAGGGGGAGGGCTTGGCCCGCGGATACCACGTGAACCGCGAACACAGCGAGTGGCATAGTCGGGGGACCTCGCCCGAGCCAGTGGGCAGTAGCACCGAGGATGGGGACAGTGCGAGACTCGGCGTTCCCCCGCGTGGCGAGGGGTTAGGCCACCAAACTGCGCAGCCCGAGACGACGGCAGACTACGGTGACACAGACCTGCAGCGGGATTTGGAGAAGTTTTTTCGGCGACTTTCCCCAGCGCGGCGAGGGGTTGGGCCGCATGGAACCCCTGCGCGGCGAGGGGCTAGGCCACGGCAATCCCCTGCGCGGCGAGGGGGTAGACCGCAGTGCCAAAGGCAAGCAGAGGCTCGAGGCGGAGGTCCCTGACGAGCCCAGTGAGCATGACGCGGACCTTTTGACCAACAGTGTAGTAGACAGGACCTCGCACCTAACAGAGCGGACCCATACCCTGGGAAACCGACAGACTGAACGCGAGGGGGGGGGCTCGGCCCGCGGATACCACGTGAACCGCGAACACAGCGAGTGGCATAGTCGGGGGGCCTCGCCCGAGCCAGTGGGCAGTAGCACCGAGGACGGGGACAGTGCGAGACTCGGCGTTCCCCCGCGCGGTGAGGGGTTAGACCGCAGCAGGCCCCAGCGTGGCGAGGGGTTAGGCCACGGAGTACCCCAGCGCGGTGAGGGGTTAGACCGCAACGATCCCCAGCGCGGCGAGGGGTTAGGCCACGGCGGACCCCATAGCGGTGAGGGGTTAGACCGCAGCAGGCCCCTGCGTGGCGAGGGGTTAGGCCACATGGGACCCCAGCGCGGTGAGGGGTTAGACCGCAATAGGCCCCTGCGCGGCGAGGGGTTAGGCCACGGAGCACCCCAGCGCGGTGAGGGGCTAGACCGCAGCAGCCCCCAGTGTGGCGAGGGGTTAGGCCACGACCTTCCCCAGCGCGGTGAGGGGTTAGACCGCGCCGACCCCCAGTGTGGCAAGGGGTCAGGCCACGACGGACCCCAGCGCGGTGAGGGGTTAGACCGCAACAGACCCCTGCGTGGCGTGGGGTCAGGCCACCACGGAGCACCCCAGCGCGGTGAGGGGCCAGACCGCAGCAGGCCCCAGCGCGGCGAGGGGTTAGGCCACGGAGGACCCCTGCGCGGCGAGGGGCTAGGCCGCAATGCACCCCAGCGTGGCGAGGGGTTAGGCCACAGCCCTGCGCCAGGCAAGGCGGCCGTGAAGGCCCACGAGTCCAGGGGCCAGCGGCCAGGGCGGTCCCTGGAAGAGCGCAGAGCGGAGGAGCGGCTGCGGCCGTCCATCAGGCTGCTCCTCAAGCTCTGAGAGGGCGGCGGCAGCATATCTTCAGACTGCCGCCGCTCACGGGGCGACTCCATGAGTCTTTGAGTGGCGGCAGTACGACGCTGTGAGATGAGGCCGCTGGCCCACCCCGCCTCGGGCCGTTCTGCCTGCGCGCGGTGCCGAGACCAGGGGCACCCACTCACGGGCGGGAGCACGCGGGTTTAAACTCCTCCTCCTCCTCCTCCGCCTCATCTGGCCCAGGGTCACTCTCTTGTGTAGCCGTCTCTCCCTCTCCCTCCTCTCCCTCTCGTCCGTTTCGACATCAGGCAAACCTGGATCGACTGGGACCGTAGCGTCAGGATGGTTAGACAGAAACGGCGGGATGCGAGCAAACCGACTCAGGGTCGGTGGCCAACAAGATGATAGTTGCGGGCAAGTGCGGTATGCAAAGGGGTCAACATGAGTAGTGAAAAGAAAGGGAGCCCGCAAGCGCGCAGGAGGGGAACACTACCATCACCATGACCTATCAGGAGGACACCGAATCTTTCCTCATCCTCCTCGTCCTCCTCCTCCTCGTCCTCTTCCTCCCTCTCCTCTCCTCCTCTCCTCCTCTCCTCCTCATCAGCATCCAACCCCCCTTCCTCCCAGGCGGCGCGCGCCGCGGGCGGCTTTTGCACTGGGCCTGGGTGCTCAATGGGCGAGATGCGAGCGAGGTCGGGGTCAGAATAGGACTGCAGAAACAGAGGACGCAGCCGCAGGGCCTTCTCGTGTGAGCACGCGGTGCCACGTACTCGGCGTGCGCCACTCCCCACCGGTGTTGTTCCCCCGGTGGCTGATTTGGGAGCGTCAGGTTTCTGTTCATATCTGGTTGTTCTGCTCAGGGTCGTTTCGTCACAAGCTCGGAGGTTCGGGGGGATCTAGATCCGGCGGCGAGAAATATACAGATCCACTGCCCCCGGCCAGGCCCATGCTGGGCCCGGGTCCGGCCCATCCTGGGCCCGGGAGCGGTGCACGTGCTTCCCTGGCCGAGCCAGGAGGGCGTTCGCACCGCTCCTAGGCTCAAGATGGGCCTGGCCAGAAGCGGCGGATATGTAGATGTCCCGTCGCCCTATCTGGAGCGCTCCAGAAAGGCCCTTGCCTTCGACGCTTTTGGGTCCAGGGTGTCCGAAATCCGCCATCTAGAGATCGGGGGCAACGATAGGGGGATACGCATAGGGGGGGATGCATCGACCCCCACTCGCCCATTGATCGCCGATGGGGGCCCCATAGCCTCAACCTGCCCAGGAAGGTGCCGATTCACGATCGTAGGCCCATCGCCGATCTATAGGCGATGTATCGCCGATTCCAGGTCGATTCATCCCCCCCTGTGCCCATCCCCCCCCTATCGTTGCCCCTCACATGCGGTCGTCTGGCCCGGGCGCTCCCGACCGTGGGCGGCCTCGCGGGCTCCCAGGTTGACCCACCGCGAAGCGCCGGTGTGGCCCCGGTTGGGCCCCTGGCGGCAAGGGGGGCCCTGGAGCCTCGCGCCCGGGAGGCGCCGTGCTTCGGAGTTCAGGGGCGGCAAAGAGGGGGGGGGGGGGTGGCGGTAACTAGGGGGGGGTGGATCTCATGGCGTGGGCCATGATATTTCCCCAAATTTCATGGCGCCTCTTCTTATTCCATTACGTCGCTGGCCCCCCCTTTGGCCGCGCACACACATGCCGACGGCCATGATTTGACCCCCCCCCCCCTTTTGGACGCTCCCCTCTTGGCCGCCCCCGAGGAGTTCTGTGAGGGCCTTGGTCGCGGGACGCACTCCTTTTCTTCGTCGCTTGCGGGGTAGCGCACGTGGCCCTCGACTTCCCAGCGACTGCGCCCTCGAGGGATCGAGCGGTTGGGCGGCGCTTCCTCGGCGGGAGGCGGCGGGAGGCGGGCGACTAGAACGTCGCGCAGAAGTGCACGGTGCACCGAGCAGCGGAGCAGACAACCTTCCTCTGTCACTTGATCCTCTGCCTCCTCCTTTTCCTCCTCCTCCTCCTCGGCCTCCCTGCCTTCCTCCCTAAGCTCCTCATCATCCCCCCGCCGTTTCTCCTACCTCCTTGTGAGCGCCGCCTCCCGCCGAGGGATCGAGCGGTTGGGCGGCGCAGAAGTGAAGCGGGTGCGGCTTCGCCGGCGCGGAAGCCAGTGGAAGGCTGGCGGAAGCCGAAGGAGTGCAAGAGGCGCCCCCAAGAGATGGCGAGGTTGTGTGGTTCAGAGTTTCCGAGAGCGGCCACGGATCGGCCGACCGGCTGAAAGATTGTGTCCCGATTGTTTGCCCGACCCCACCGAAGCAAACAAACGGATCCGACGAGGGGATTGGAGCCCAGCGTCATCAGCTTCAACACCTCCATCGCCGCCTGCGAGGGAGGCCGATGGTGCGAGGCGTTGTCGCTTCTGGGCGACATGGCAGCCGCAGAGGTGCTTCCGGACGCCACCAGCTGCAACTCTGCGTTGCTGGCTTGCAGCACTGCGCGCCAGTGGAGGCAGGCTTTGGAGCTGCTCCTGGGGGGCCTCCCGGGTGGCCCGCGGCCAGACGTCATCGGCGGGATGTTGGTGCAAGGTGCTTTCAAGGGAGGGGAGGGGGATAGCAACGGATGCCCACACCTTTGCACGGATTGTCACGGCTGGTCCGCCAGCCTGCAACGGTTCTCTCTCTCTCTCTCTCTCTCTCGCTCTCTGGCCGTGTAAATTCCTTTCGTGACGCCATCTTTTCATCGTTTCGCGCGCAGTGTCTTGCAATTCTTTATTTGCCCTCTTCGGACAACGGGAAAATGGATGAAACTGTTCGTTCTTGACAAGCTTCTTCCGTGTCTACACTGAGCCCAATTTGTCTGCAGGATCGCACAAAACAAGATAACCCCGGATAATTACAGCACCCCAGCCTCTACAGTCGAGTTTGGTTAGTAGGTCGACCCTGCCAAATCAAGGGTGCCTTTCTGTCCTGAATTTCGCGATCCATGCCGTCAACGTTCTTATGACAATGTGACCCTCGGAAAGGTCTTGTGTCCTCTCCCGTCTCCTCTCCAATCAATATCGAGTGTACCAGTGTTCTGGGCGTTCCGAGATTATTGCCTTGGCTTTCGAAGACCGACCGCCTGACCCCTCCGTGGCAAGTGCACGTAAAGTGTTCCCGACAGGCTCGGTTGAAGCATCTTGGGCAGGCTGGAAAGCACCGCCACGATGTTATCGTCACATGTTTGTGCGTCTTGTTTGTAAAGGCGTCTTGTGTGCTTCTTGGGTGCTTCTTCGGGGAGTTGGGGAGACTCTTGGGGGCCTTATGGGGAGTTTCGAAAGCCTTTGGTGGGTCATGACCCGTCTTGCGCCCGATGATTCTACTGAGCTCTCCCACTGCGACTTCGTAAAACAATTTGGCTGCCGCCTGGAAGGATACCGGGGCGGTCTTGGAGCCTTCTGGGGACCGTCTTAGGGTCGTGTTCGGGGGTTCTCGGGCCTGTGTTCGGGCCGTCTTGTGGTCTTTTTGAGGGTTTGTCGGGCCTTATTGGGCCGTCTTAGGGCTCTCCGAGGTTTCTTGAGGGCACATTGGCCAGAAAGGCATCCGAAGCAAACAACTATGCGTGCTTCGTTGTTTCTGGTATCCCAGAGCCTTGCTGGAGAGCTCCTAGGGCACTTGCCTCTTGGGCACTGCCTGGGCTATCTTCGGGGCTCTTGTAGACATCCTGAGGATTCCTGGGATATTGTTGTGCTGTACAGTCTTTGGGCCTCTTGCCGCCGCTTCGAGGGGTGAGAGGGCCATGTTTGTCACGTCTTGAGGTCGAAAGAGCGCTGGGAACCAACTTTGGGTCGGGACGATTTCTGGGGTCGCGGGTGGCGAGGCGTGTCAGGGCGCCCCTGGAAGATTACAGAAACGCGACCCGACAGCTAGCATGAAGTATGGAGGCCAGGGGATTGTGAAGTAGGCTTTCTGCCATACGAGACTTGGGTGCGTCCACGCTTCATACTCATTATCTCCTTCCTTCTTCTCCTCCTTCATCCTGTTCCTTTAGCATCGTGGTACATATTAGGGTAGTTTGGAGGGTATCTTGACACTCTGAGGGTATTCGGTAGGACAGCCAATCAACAGGGAGAATATGACCCCCCGAGCATGGTCCATGGAGTTCCAGCCCTTGCCAAGAGGCGTGGAGTTGAGATTTCGAGACACTGCTCGGGGGGGCTCTGTCCCTCTAACTTAGCGCCCGCAGCACAGAGGATATCCGCAGGAAGGGGCCCTGTAGCAAGGAATCCTCACGACTACTTCCGTTGCACGTGTTCCTTCATAGTGATGTTTTCAGTAAGGGGTCTTGAGTAAAGAGTCCTTTAGTAAGGCGTCCTTAGAGGGGGGGGCAATGAAAGGGGGGCCTGGCTGCTCACCCACAGCCCACAACATAGAGGGGGGAAGTGGAAGGAAGAAATGGTTGCTCTCTCCCTCTCTCTTTCTCTCTCTCTCTCTCTCTCCCGCTCTCTCTCTCCCCATCTCCCTCTCTCTCTCTGGCTCCTTTCATGTTCACATTCACGCAAGGCCCGGCCAATGAAACACCGATGGGACGCCATGCGAACGCCTCCACTGGAGCCATATTTGGAGATCCTCAGTAAGGATGCTTGTACTATGGGCCCTTAGCAATCATTCCGTTTAGTGAGGGCTCTTGAGTAAGGACTTCTTTAATAAACATTCATTAGTGAGGGTGTCTGTATGCAGGACTCTTGGGTAGGGCTCCCGCTTTAGCGGGGAATCCGTGGTGATGGCGCCTTTGGCGCCGTTGGCACGCATTCATCCGTCAGGATGCCCCTACCAAGGAAACCTAAGTAATGGTCCTTTTAGTGACGAATCCTTAGCGGCGTTGCCTTTACTACAGACGGATCCCCGGAATGCGGATCATTGTAGCAAGGGTTTATTGTTCGTGCTTCCCTTTACAGAGGTTAGCCTGTACTGATAACTTTAGTATGGTGACCATTAGTACGGGCGGTTTAGTAATGTGCCCTGGGTGAGGAGAAATGTCGTAAGGAGTCCTTAGAGGTGCGGAAAGGACATGTGATGGGGTGGTGGTTGCTCTCTCGCACAACCCACAAAGCAGAATGGGGAAGTGGCAGGACGAAATCGCTGCCCTCTGTTTGTATGTGTTGTTTCTCTCGCTCTCTCTCTCTCTCTCTTCCTATCTCTCTCTGTCTCTCTCTCTCTCTGTCTCTCCCTTCCGCTGTATCTGTCTGTCTCTCTCTCTCTCTCTTTCTCTGCTTCCTCCCCCTTTTCACATTTACCCAATGCCCAGCCAAGGAATCCCTTTATGGAACGCCATGCGAACGCCCCCACGGGTACTATTTCTGGAGACCCTCAGTACGGGTGCGTGTAGTAAGGACCTTTTGGGTTTCTGGGTAAAGATTTCCGTAAACAGTCATTGATAGGGAATGCTTGTACACAGAAATCTTGGATAGGGATCCTCTTAGTGAGGAATATTTAGCGGGGTGCCGTTGCTACGGAATCGTCCGCCAGGTTGCCTCTACCAAGGGAGCATCAGTAAGGGCCACTTTCGTGAGGGAGGGATGCTGAGAGGGCATAACACGGACCCCCTCAATGCGGATCGTTGTAGCAATGGTTCATTGTTCATGATTGTTCATGCTTGTTTTCACGAACCTTACACAGTAAAGATGCTCGTGCAGCAAAGGATCCGTAGTCAGGATGTGCTGAGTACGTTTAGGGATCCTGAGTCATGGGTCCTGGAGTACGGAGCACTTAGAGAGGAGGAAATGAGAGGGGGTTGGTTGTTCTCCCACATAGCCCACAGCGCACAGGGGGGAAGGTTGCAGGAGGAAATGTGTGCTCTCTCGGTCTCTCCCTCTCTCTCTCTCTCTCAATATCTCCTTTTCTATCTCTCTCTCTCTCTCTCGTTCTCTCTATTTGTGTAGATCGCTCGCTCTCTCTGTATCGCGTTATCTCCTCTTGTATTCGTTACCTCGTTCTCTCTCGCTCTCTCTCTCTCTCTCGTTCTCTCTCTCTCTCTCTGCCGTTGTGTGTGTTTCTCTCTCTCTCTCTCGTTCCCATTCCTCCCCCTCTCAATCGTTTCTCAAGTTGCAGCAAACCTATCCCCATTGTGGAACGCCATGCGAACGCCCCCTTGGCGCCATTGCTGGAGATCCTCAGTAAGGATGTGTGTGGTAATGGGGGGGGCTTTTGGTAAGCATTATTTGGTACTGAGGGTTCCTTAATCAGGGCTCCATTCGTAACCATTCATCAGTAACTATTGTTGCATCGAAGATTCGTGGGGGAGGGTCGATTTTGCAAGGATTCCTTAGTGAAGGATGCGTGTGGTAAGCACTCATCAGCAAGGGTGTCTACAGCAAGACATCCTTAGCAACTATTCCTTCAGTGATGGGAACGCCTGCAGTAAGCATCCCCGCAGTGAGGATTCCATCAGTAAGGTGTCATTACGCATGCTTCATTTGACCAATATTGTTCAGTGAGGATGCATCGGCTAAGGATTCATTCATCCAGTGCCCCTGCAGTAAGGATTCCTTACCACGATTATCTCTAGTAGGGATTATCTAGTAGCCGTCGGCCCATCCCGCCATCGTGCCTGGGTTGTGTGTATAAGGCATATTGTATGTTCGTTGGAATCTCGTGGGGGGCATCTCAGGGGCCTCCTTGAGGCAGCTTTAAGTCCTCTTGGGGGCCTTTGGGGCCTTCTTGGGGCCTCTTTTGGGCCTCTTGGGGTCCTCTTGGGGCATCGTGGGCGCCTCTTGAGGCCTCTTGGGAGCCTCTTGGGGCGGAAGGCTCGGACGTTCGGTTCGTGATCCATCTCTTGGGCCCCTTTATGGGGCCGTCTTTGGGCCCTCTTGGGCCGTCTTGGGCGCCCCTCGGGCCGTCTTGGGGCGCTCTTAGGCCGTCTTGGGGCCCTGTTGGAGGCCTCTGGTGCCGTCTTGGGGTGGTCTTTGGGGCCTCTTGGATCGTCTTGGAGCGTCAGAAAGCCGAACAGGCGAGAACACCAAAATCGTTCGCAAACCTTCGGTACATCAATGGTTTGTGCCTCTTGGGGCCCTCGCGGGAGGCCTATTGGAGGCACCTTGTGGCGTCATGGAGGCCTCTTGGGCCATACTGGGGTCATCTTGGGCGTCTTGGAGCCATCTTGGGGCGACTTGGGGCCCTCTTTGACCATCGTTGGGGCCTGCCTCACGGAGCCATCTGGCTCGTTTGGGCGTCCTCTTGCGTTGGGTAGGCCGACGCGAGCAAGTTTGGCGGACGCCAGAAAAATTTGAGAAGCGATTGGTCTGGGCCCCTAGCGATTTCAAGTTCTGGCTGTAGCAGCAGTGCTGCATGAGCCTTTGGTCACTCCACTTCGTTCCAAAGGCACGGTGGCGAATTTCAGAACGATGACTTCAGCATAGCAAGTATTCGTTAGTACGGAAGCCTTTCTATCGACGGATCCTCAGTAATGGCCCCTTTCAGTTGGGAAGCCAGTATCGTGGAGGCATGCGTTCAGCATTCGTTAGAAAGGATGCCGTTACCAAGGGATGCCCGTGGCAAGGAGTTTAGTGGTCAGATCCTTGTAGTAAGGACTGATGTTCCATGCCTCCTTGTCGTACGGGTCCCTTAGTAAGGCTGCCTCTAGTAACGGACCCTCCGTGATGATAGGTGTAGTTAGATGTCTCTTGTATTGACGATACATGTTGTCAGGGCCAGTTCTTTTTGTTCGTCCTGGGTAAGGATAGTTTTAATAACGAGGTCTTTAAGCATGACGCTTTTAGTGAGGTTCCCATGATGGGGATGCTTTGGGTAGGAACCTCCAAGTAAGGACTCCTGTCGTAATGACTCCGTGGTTTCACTTCCTGTAGGAAGGATCCCTTAGTCAGAAAACCTGGGGGGGGAGGACATGAAAAATTGCCCCCCCCCCCCCCCCCGCCGTCTGTTTTTGTTTCCACCTCCCCCGCCCTTTGGGGGAGGAGGGGCGATGTTTGGGAGGGGCGGAGCAACACAAATCAAAAAATACCCCCACCCGCCCACCAGCTCCCCAGTTGTTTGTGTTGTGTTTGTTTATTTGTTTGTTCCGCCCCCGCCTGGGGGGGTGGGAAACCCAACACAACAGGAATCATCACGTAAATCTCCCACGAGGAGGAGTACGACGAAGAGAAGGAGGAGGAACATCGCGCAAAAGAGCTGGAAACACATTCGATGACGCAAAAGACGCACCCCCACATCAAAAAAAACAGAAAGAAGGAGAAAGCAAATGAGTATCAAGAAGTGGCCCAGCGGCCGCATACTCCAGAGGTCCCTCTCCTCGGATTTTGACACCTCGGTTCTATGAGGATTGCGAGTGCTCTGCAAAGTTGTAGCATTCGCTGCGGTGCTGGCCAGATCCTGGTATGCCCCAGGCTTGGAGCAGCCAGCCGTGAGAACTACCCAGGCGATAACAAGCTCGTTGCAGTCCCATCAGGCTACCAGAACACGGTGGCGTAGGCGGTCCGTGTGGCCTGACTCTATGCCCAGGGTCTTCACCGGTTGTTGTCCAGACCAGTCTTGTGAGCTTGCAAGTCGTGCGGCCGATGTCAGCAGGCCGAAGGTGGGTTGCGCGTCGCCCCCCAGTGCAGCACGCCGACCACCCTCATCTGTGGGAAGTCCACCGATGTTTCGGCCAGCGCCCCTGTGCAAAGGCCGTGTACATCTGAAGCGCCTCGCCCCCCACCCCCGGCGATGGGTTCGCGACTCTGGGGTCACGTGGGAGGCGTCTGTGGGCCTTATTGGGGTCTTCGTGCGGGCGCTTTGGGAGGGCCACCACGTGCGGTCCTGGTCTATCTCGGGGCACGGCTGGCCAGGGGTAGGTGTATAGTTGTGCATGAAAAAGAAGCCTGGGACACCTTGTCTAATCCTGGCGCACCTTTCTGCAACATGATGAGAGGAGCTTTCTTGGGAGCAGTATTGGGGTTCTGCTGGACAGGTGTGGGCGATCCTGGTGTCAACTTTGGGGATCCAGTGATATTGTGGCTATCCTGGTATAGTGGGGCAATATTGATGCGTATCGGAGGCATCTCGGAGACCGTATTGTGGCGCTCCAGGGCCATATCGGACGAGTTGGTTGGCATCTTAGGGCATGTGAGGCCACATTGGGGCTACATTAGGCAATTATGGGGCCATGTTGGGGCCTCTGACGGCTTCCCTGGGGCCACATCCGGGCGTTTTTGGGGTAGTGAGTGTCGAAATCAAACAAGCAGATGTTGGCGTTTTGTCTCCAATGATGCAGTTTAGGATGCAACCCTGCGCGATATTGAAGAAACGTATCATCTCGGAGGTCATCTAGGATGAGATGCAGCTACCTCAGGAGGTTGTGTAAGCATCTCTGCGAGGCACTTTTCAGCCATCCTTCGGTAACAACTGTGAAGGGGGGTGGAGGGCAGGGATCCTCTGGGGGGTCAAGAAGATACGCACCGATAGCTACTTCCCGGACCTCTCATGCAGCGCGCTCTGACCAGGATTCCGAGGCGAATCCAGCCGAGGCGACGAGGACCTCCCAGGAGGCTTAAGAAGGCAAAACCGAGGGAAGGCTAGCGGCACTGCGCTTCCTCCGTAGACACGCTAACAGCAATGCAGGTAACGGCTATGCAGGTTTCGGCATTGTAGGTGGGGGTGGTTCGTGGCCGACCCACTTGTAGGAAAGGCTTCTTCGTGTTTTCCTACCACTTGTTCTGCGCGAGGTCGGCGTCGCAAAAACTAGATTCCCAACATCGCCGTTGACCAACATCGCCATTAGCGTGGCCTTAGTTCTTTATGCCCACAAGTCGGCGTCGAGCGAGGGGGCGAAGTGAGATGGAGAAGGCCTTCTCAGGAGGCGGGGGGACTCCTAAGACGCCCTCGCGCCTTCAGAGAAGAGTTCTGCGTCTTCGGGGAAGCCTCAGAAAGGTCTCAGAAAGCCGGGGGACTTCCGAGCCTTCTGAGAAGGCCCGCCCCTGCTCGCTTCCCCCCCGCGCTCGCCGCCAAGCAAGGCAGGGCCGCCTACGATCCGCTTCGATTCGCCGGCCGGGGCCGCGATTCCAATCCGATGCGATCCGGCTCTGCTCGCCGGCGCCGGCCGGGGCGCCAGCCAGAAGCGGGGCGCGGCGATGCGATGCCGACCCGATGCGGGACGATCCACTGACGACCCGACCCGCGCCCGCTCCGTCGCCGACTCCGTCGGGTCCGGCCCCGCGCAGACCTGCAAGGCGCCTGCGAGGGCGCGACGGCGCCTCGGGCCCCGGCGGGTGCAGCCCTGGCGGGCCTCGGCCGCGCCCTGGCCGGCTTGCTTCGCGGGCCCCTGCCCGGGGCGGAGCGGCACGGAGGCAAGCCGGGCTCCGCGGGCGCGGCGGGCCCGGGGGCGCGTTCGCGCCCAAGGGGGGGGGGCGCGCCTCAAGAAGCCACGTGCCACCTCCTCCTCCTCCTCCTCCTCCTCCTCCTCCTCCTCCTCCTCTCCTCCTCCTCCTCCTCCTCCCCTCCTCCTCCTCCTCCTCCTCCTCCTCCTCCTCCTCCCTCCTCCTCCTCCTCCTCCTCCTCTCCTCCTCCTCCTCCTCCTCCTCCTCCTCCTCCTCCTCCTCCTCCTCCTCCTCCTCCTCCTCCTCCTCCTCCTCCTCCTCCTCCTCCTCCTCCTCCTCCTCCTCCTCCTCCCTCCGACCCCATCTGGGAGGCCTGGAGGAGGGGAGCCCCGATGGCGCCCAGGTGGCAAATCATGGGAGCCTGGTTTACCCTCTTAACTCCGTCAGCCGCGTCGATTCGCGTCCGGGAGTCGTGGGATAGCGCCGATCTAGCGTCGGCTAGCGCCGATCAGCGTTTATTTGGCGTCGATTTAGCGTCGACTAGCGTCGATTCGGAAGAGCCGACAAGATGGTACGGGAGGCTCCCATGAGTTGCCACCGAAGTTTCTTCGCTCTTCGCGCTGCGCGGTGACTTCCCGGGGCCGTCGAAGAAGCTGCTGCAGCGTCTTTAGGGTGCCCTGGGCTTACCTCCCAGACGCACCTCTCGCGCGAGGGTCCTCAGGGCAGGGCGTCTTGCGAGGGTTTCTTGTGGCCGCGCCCGCACTGCAGGGGAGGGTTGCACGGAGCCTTTGAAGAGCAGAGGTCGAATTAGGCCTCCCAGATGGGGTCGGAGCCGATGTGATCGGAGGATCGCGCCGCATCGCCGATGCACTGGCGATGCATCGGCGATGCGGCTCGATGTGGGGCTCGGTTTCTCCAAGCAGACGTCGCCGATGCATCGCCGATGTATGCGGCGAGATCCTCCGACCCCATTCAGGAGGCCCCTAAGAGTGGAGCAGAGCAAGGTAAATGCTCTTGCGAAGCGCGATCTTACCCGCTTTGCCACCCAGTCATGGGTCGCTACCCCCTTTCATAGCTCTTGCGTCCTGGAGCTCACCCATTGTGCCAGAGGCCGTGAACGAAGTGAGTGGCAGGATCTTGTTGAATATCCAAATTGAGCGGCGGAGAAAATGGTTCGATTGCGCCGACATTCTCTTGCAAACTGCCCGCGCAAAGTCGCGCGTAAGCGCCCTCGCTTCCAGTGTAGCGTGCCGCGCTGGCGGCCCGCGTAAGCTGCGGCGTAGGTTCGCTATGCCGTCTCGCGGAAGGCCCTTTGCTGGTCGTCGCTCAGTTGGTTTCCCTCGCCGGCGACGAGCCCGGCATGCAGCACAGAGACAGACCCTCCCGCCAGAGGTCTGGGAGCGGCCACGAGGGCCCACGCGCCCGCCGGCCCGTGGCCGCCCGCTCGCAGACCCCCAGCCCCAGATGTGCGATGTCCAGACGTGCTGCATGCACAGGCGAGGCCGATGGTGGGTCGAGGCTCGTGTCCTCTCGCGCGTCCCTTCTGGGCAGCCCCGACTGTACGGTGGGGGCGCTGGCGAAGGAATAAATGTGCCCAGGAGGCTTCAGAGTGGGAGCGGCCAAGAAGGGGGTGAGGACAGGGGGGGTGTTATCATGGCCGTGGCCATGATACCTCCCCAGTTTTCATGGCGCTTCTTCTTATTTCAATACGTCCATTGCCCCCCCCTTATGGGCCGCGCAAATGCCTCGGACCATGCTTTGCGAGCCCCACGCTTGGACGCCCCCCTCTTGGACGCCCCCGCCCGATCAGACTCTGGAGGATTCCTTGATTGTCTGATGAGGGCGGTGGTAATATCCATGTGCAATCCATCATCGGAGTTCCACTGGCTTCCAGACCCTGGATTCCTTTTCCAACGGTTCCTCATCCAATGCAATCACCGTGCTGGGTCCTCAGACGTCCCGATCCTTTCCTCGGGCCAGTGTTTCAGCCTGGATAGTTTTGTTGACGGCCCCGGGGGGTTCTTTATGAGGCCGAAAACGGCCAACAATTTTCCGTCGCGATTTCTGTTCGAGACGCGAGCTCATGTTTGGGCAGGGCGGGGCCAGCGGCACGTGTAGGGAGTAATAGCACACGCGTTCGTAGCATATGGTGCTTAATTCAAGCTTCGCACGGCCCGTTTAGCTTCGACCCGACGAGGTGCGCCCTCGACCCACGAATCAAACAAGTGTTCGTAGTATATTTGTAGTTGCCACTGTCCTACAAGAAGGCGCAGCTCAAGCTATCACAGTGAGGAGACCGAACGACCAGTCGTTGCCCCTGGGCGCGTGGCTGAAGTGGGATTCCGTGGCCCCGATGTGTGTTGTCTGTCGAATGTTATGATTACGGTTGATAGTCTTATTATTGTTGTGTTGTTGTGGCTCTTGATGTTGCTGTTGCTGTTGTCGTCGTCGTCGTCGTCGTCGTCGTCCGCGACCCCCCGCGACCCACCCGCGACCCACCCTGCGGCCCACCAGTGACCCACTGCGCGATCCATTGCGCGACTCACCCGCGACCCTCCCGCGGTCCACCCCGCGCCAGCCCCCGAGCTTTTCCGAGCCCACCGCCCCGCGGAGCGGAGTGACACGCTTACGCCTTTGCAGGGCAGAGCGTGTCGCCAAGGCCGCCGCGGCGCCACGCTAAGCAAAAGTTCCCGACCGTATATCGTTGAGGTTTGCCGCCTTCCACGGCTTCCACTCGGGGGGTGCTGTAGGTGCCCCTGGCCCGAGATGCCCCCAGTTTCTCGCTCCATTTTGGAGCACCCATGGGGCCCTCTGGGCCTCGTGATGGGGTGCTCTGGAGGCCCGTGGGGGCCTTCTTGGGCATCCTGGGGGCACATTCAGGGCTCGTTTCGATTCCTCCGATTCGACTCGATTCCGCTTCGATGGCTTCTGATTCCGATTCGATTCGATTTGGGATTCCGATTTGGGCTCCGATGTTCATTGGAGGCAGATTCGCCTCCCGATTTCCGCCGATTCGACTTTTCCCTACTCGTCTGCCGATTTCCGCCGATCCGATCCATGTCGATCGCCGATCCGACTCATCAACTCGATGCCAGGGCCCCTCTCTGCACCTTAAGGCCAGGGGCGCCCTCTGGCCACCCTTTGAGCTGCGGCGGCACCCGGGCGCCGCCCCTCCCGCCGAGCCCGCGCGCGTGCGGCCGGGCTCTGCCTGGAGGCCGCGGAGCGCCTCGGGTGTGGCGGCGGGGCGCGCGCGGAGCGCGCGCTGCGGCGCCGGGCGCGGGCGGCGGCGGCGGGCGCGCTGCGCGGGCTGGCCGCGGGCGTGCCGGTCCGCAGAGGAGAAGAGCGGAGCTCCATCGAAGGCTCCAGCAGCAGGGTCCGCATGCGTCACCGCCACCCAGGACAGCGCTTCGCGGCTCCATAGGGAGCTCCACCGAGAGGCGATGTCCCCCCTTCCCCATCCCAGAGCTGCGCTCGGAAAGCTTGGCCGCGCAGAAGCAGGGGGGCGGCTCTGGGGTACACCCCGCGGGGGCTATTCGGGCGCATCCCTCATCGAGGATGGACTCCCCCCCCCCCATTGTGTATCCCAGGGTTGGGCCCCACATTTCAGGTTCATCCGAAAACCCCACGAAGCCGGCGGGGGGTTCGAGGTGGCCCAGCACATCGGTTCTCCTGCGAGCAGGGGGAGGGGTCGAGGCTCTGGCTTCGAGGACGTGTTCTGCCCTCTTCGGCCTCCGGAAGGCGTTCTCGGGCCCCGTGGCCCTCAAAAATGGATCTGGGGGTAAAAATTGCTCCACGTGAACCCACGGAGGGCTCCAGCGAATTTGCCTTCATCAGCCCCCTCCAAAAAGAGCGGTCATTTGTTCGGCGCGTTTCCAAAGCACCCGTTGGTGAATACCCATGAGCGGTGCGGCCGATTTGGGTACGGAAGAAATTCGGAGGTGGGCTGCCAGCAGGATTTTGTCCATTCGGAACAGGGCTCGCGGTCGGTGCCGCAGCGGGAGTTGTCCGTTTGAGCGCGAAAGCCGCCTGCACAACAGCGGCCGTTGCCGCTTTGAGACAACATGTGGTCTTAGGCTTCGTGCCCACTTTTTGTCCGTCACCGTTTCGGGCGTTCAATCACCGTTTCGGGCGTTCCAACATGACTCGGCGGCGAGCGAGGGGGGGAAGTGAGAATGAGAAGGAGTTCTCAGAAGGCGGCGGGTCTTCTCAGAAGCCCTCGCGGCGTCTGAGAAGTTGTCTGTGTCTTGGGGGGGAGGCTCACGAAACTGTTCACAAGGCCAAGGGACGTCCGAGCCTTCTGAGAAGGCCCGCCCCTTCTCACTCCCCCCCCCGCGCTCGCCGCCAAATTACATCGCCGCTGACCCAGACATGCGATGTCCTGATCTTTGAAAAAGCGTGTTCTACCGCTGCTGGCGGAAAACCGGGGGGGGGTCATTGGGGGTTCCTAACCCGTTCCCCCCCCCCCTCGAAAACCGGGGGGGGGGTCACTACTGGTTCGACCCCCCCCCCCAGTTCATAATGAAAAGGGGGGGCGGGTCACTGTCTGTTCGAACCCCCCATCCCCCCCCCCTCTCGAAAACCAAGGGGGGTCACTACCGGTTCGAACCCCCCCCCCCTCGCCGTTGGCAAACGATGCCCGCTCCTCGGGACAGTTGGAGAAAGGTGGGGATATTGGGACAGTGGTGGGAACGGTGGTGGTGGGGACAGTGGTGCGGGGACAGTGGGACAGTGATGCGGACAGTGGTGGGGACGGTGGTGGTGGGGACAGTGGTGAGGGGGCAGCGGGACAGTGGTGGGGACAGTGGGACAGTGGTGGGGACGGTAGTGGTAGGGACAGTGGTGAAGGCGGTGGTAGGGACAGTGGTGGGACAGGTCGGGAAAGTGGTGGGGACAGTGGGGACAGTGGGACAGTGATGGGGACAGTGGGGACGGTGGGACAACACAGTGGGACAGCGGCGGGGACAGTGGGACAGTGGTGGGAACAGTGGGGACAGTGGGACAGTGGTGGGGACCGTGGGGACAGTGGGGAGAGTGGAATTGTGGTGGGACAATGGCAGGGAGAGTGGGGACAGTGAGACACTGGTGCGGGCACTGGTGGGGACAATGGTGGGAACAGTGGGGACAGTGGGACAGTGGTGGGGACGGTGGTGGTGGGGACAGTGGTGTGGGGACAGTGGGAATGTGATGAAAACAGTGGGACAGTGGAGGGTACAGTGGTGGTGGCGACAGTGGTGAGGGCGGTGGCGAGGACGGCGGTGGGATAATGGGACAGAGGTACAGTAGGGACAGTGGTGCGGACAGTGGGAACAGTGGGGACAGTGGGACAGTGGTGGGGACGGTGGTGGTAGGGACAGTGGTGTGGGGACAGTGGGAATGTGGTGGAAACAGTGGGACAGTGGAGGGTACAGTGGTGGTCGCGACCAGTAGGGACAGTGGTGCGGACAGTGGGAACAGTGGGGACAGTGGGACAGTGGTGGGGACGGTGGTGGTGGGGACAGTGGTGTGGGGACAGTGGGAATGTGGTGGAAACAGTGGGACAACGGAGGGTGCAGTGGTGGTGGCGACAGTGGTGAGGGTGGTGGCGAGGACGGCGGTGGGATAATGGGACAGAGATACAGTAGGGACAGTGGTGGGGACAGTGGGGACAGTGGTGGGAACAGGGACAGCTCAGTGGGACAGCGGCGGGGACAGTGGGACAGTGGGGACAGTGGGACAGTGGTTGGGGCCGTGAAGAAAGTGGGGAGAGGAGCCGTGCTGGGAAGAGTGGTGGGGACAGTGGGGACAGTGGGGACAGTGCGACAGTGGTGGGGGCACTGGTGAGGACAGTGGTGACGGTAGTGGGAATAGTGGGGACAGTGGTGGTGAGGACAGTGGTGCTGGGGACAGGCGCACGGTGGTAGGGACCCAGAGTTGTTTGCTGGCGGTGAGCGTGGGGGGGGCAGGGGTTCGAACCAGTAGTGACCCCCCTCGGTGTTTGAGGGGGGGAGGTCGAACCGGTAGTGACCCCCCCGGTTTTCCAGGGGGGTAGTGACCCCCTCGGTTTTCGAGGAGGGGGGGGGTTCGAACCGGTAGTGACCCCCCCAGTTTTCCGGAGGGGGGGGGGGGGTTCGAACCAGTAGACCCTTCTTTGGTTTTCTTGGGGGGGGGGGGGGGGGGTTCGAACCGGTAGTGACCCCCCCCGGTTTTCCGGAGGGGGGGGGGGAGGGTTAGGGAAGGGGGGGCGGTTTGCCGGGGGGGAGGGGGGGGGTCCAGCATGGGGGGAGGGGGGGATTTTCGGGGTGGGGGGGGGAACCCTGGGTTCCGGAGGAAGCAGGGGAGGAATTTTCCACAGTACAGCGGCGATGGATCACGCGCTCTCTGATCTTTTCAGCACGGGGTCCCCGGAAGCCCCAACCGAGGAAGAAGAAGAAGAAGAAGAAGAAGAAGAAGAAGAGGAAGAGTCGAAGCAGAAGAAGCTCAACAGCACGGCTTTTCATCGATTTCTGCCTGGGTGGGCCCGTCGTCGAGCCCCGAGGCAGGTCGGCGATGGAGCCGGGGCGACAAACTGCCCCTGCAGGGAGTTGGTCGAGCCTTCTGGGGCCTTTCTCCGAGGCCGGCTTCTCGCCCCGAGCCCCTCTCTGACGGCCCCCGGGCCCAGCGAGGTTCCCCAGAGGCCGAAGACACAGCCAGCAGAAATCCTGGCGGACTTCTCGCGCGTCGGCCCGGCTCCGCCCAGCGTCGGGCCCCGGGGGACCTTCACAGATCGATCTCGTTCGAGAAGCGACGGAGAGAGATGGGGTCCTGGGCTCCGGTAGCGATTTTTGTTTTGCGATGCTGCATGTTCTGCGATGCTGCATGTTTTGCGATGGTGGTCTGCCGCTGTGCGTTTTTTGGGAATATATATACACACATATACATATACATATACATATGCATATACATATACATATACATATATACACATACATATATATATATAAACATATATATATATATAAGTAGCAGTTTGGGTTGCAGGGGTTATCCACACAGCGCCCTTGTCCCCTCTGTTCCTCCTCTCCTCCTCGTCCTCGTCAGCTTTCGCTCACACTTGCTGGCTGAATTTCGTGACGCCTTCGGTGCGTGCTGACGCGCCGTGGGAATGTTACTTAGAACCGGCTTTCTTCCTTGAGTCCGCGCCATGGGAATGATACTCAAGACCAGTTTTTTCTCTTTGGGCACCGCCTCTGCGTGTGAGGGGAAAAAAGATTTGAGGGGTGGTCAGTGATGATTCCTGGTTCGGGCCTCCTCCCGTTTTCGCTCCGGAGTCCCCCTGGATTGCGCAGTCCTTCCGAGTTCTCCCAGATCACAGTCTACCCCATGTATATATATACATATATATATATATATATATATATTGTCCAGCACCCTCAAACGGGAATACATCTCGGACTAAGCGGCTTCAGAATTTCACATCACACGTGGAGACGCCAATCAGGGCCCCACTCGAACCAGGTGTATCCCAGATGATCCGGGTGCCCAAATCGAAGGACCTTCGCTGCTGGAAAGCCGTGATCGTTCAAGGCTGAACGGTCCACGATCAACGCGATTTAAGCAGCCAGCGCTGACGTCAGCGCGGCATTCGTCCCCCGTTGAACCCTTGTGCCTCCTGGGCGGCCAACGCCGCCGTGGCCAGATCCGCCTCGGAGCCCTCGTCAGAGCGCATCCAGGGAGAGGTCCAGGGTGTAGAAGCCTCAGAGTAATTTTGCTCCCCCCAGGTCCAGGCGGTCGGGAGGCTGCGTGACGAGCGCTTGGAGCTCCGGTGATCGTGGTGGACCTGCCCAAACCCAGGAGGAGGAGAAGGAGGCGGCGGCGGCGGCGGCGGAGGCGGAGGCGGAGGCGGCGGCGGCGGAGGCGGAGGCGGAGGCGGATGCGGAGGCGGAGGCGGAGGCGAAGGAGGAGGAGGAGAAGGCAACGGCGGAGGAGGCGGAGGCGGAGGCGGAGGCAGAGGAGGAGGCGGAGGAGGAGGCGGAGGAGGAGCATCGGCCAGGTGCGGCTACTCCCGTAATGAACAGTCCTTTGGCCAAGCATCCCTTCCTGCAGAGGTCTTTCCTGCGCCCAGGTCGGCAGACCGTCTCAGCGTTGGCATCCCGGCCGCACCTGCAGGCCTGCCATGATTTTTGTTGGGGGGAGTTGTGTTCCGATCCCCCTGCTGGACCCGTCGAGTGCGTTGTGGCCAGGTGGCCATGGGGCCGCGGCACCCTCCCAGGAGCGCCAGCCCAGCTTGGGCCCGCTGTGCTCAGCGGAAGAGCTGGCAGCGCTGCACATGGCCGCCACCGCGAGGCCCCGGGGCAGCATCCGCGCGGCGGCGCCCCACCGGAAGACGGAAAAGCGCCGCTTCCTTCCTTCCCCTCACCACCTCTTCCAGGAGCGGAACAAAACCGTACGCGCACATGGATTCGCATGGGCTTCGAGATTGCGCAATACGCGAGCGTTGGTGACGTGAGGGCAGCCTCGCGAATTGGGGGGGCAAATGTGCCACAGGGGCGACGGGGAGCCCTAGACCGCCTGTTCAGGGGGTCATTTCGCTCAAGGTTTCTTCACAGTGGATTCAGGCACCGTGCTCTCGCCTCAATATTGGCTGCCTCTTTGGCCTAAACGGCCATTCATCCTTTCTCAAAAATGCACTAAGTTGCACGTGGCCGTGCCATCACCCTTGTCTCAGCTGTCTCACCTCCTCCTCCTCGTCCTCCTCCTCCTCCCTCCACTTCGACCCGCCTCTTTACCGATGCTGCTATCAGGGTGCTTTGCCGAGGTATGCTCACAACGTTCGGGACCCCTGAAGCCAGGACACTGCAGACCAGGACGTTGCCAGATCCATGGCAATGAAAGGAAGGAATTTGGCTCTCTGCTTCTCCTCGGCCCTTCCTCGAAGAATCCCCGAATTCCCTCGGGAATTGGGCTCTCCGAGAAGAATTCCCTGAATCGGGGCTTCTCCCCCGCCCTCACCCCCCCCCCCGCCCTCGGAGAATCCCCGAAGCGCTGCGCCAGCACACGCTGTGGGAGGCACCCGCGGCTGGCCTGGGCCGGCGCCGGACCACCCCTCGCCCCGCACCTCTTGGGCGGCGCCGCTCGCGCGCCCGCGCCGGCCCTCGCCGCCCGCTCGGGGGGAGGGCTTCGCCGCTCCCTGGGGCCCCCGGGGACGGCAGGGCCTTTATTGGTACCGTCGGGGCCCTGAAGAGGGAACCCTTTTGGGTTCGGGAGGGGCTCCGCGTTCCTTCCGTGTTTGCACAGCTTGCCCCAGGTTTTCCTTTCTATGTCTTCCGTGGGAAATCGAAGTTCAACTTATGGGAAAAAGGGGCCCCGTCGCCAAGCAGTCGGTTCCCTGATCGTGACGGCGGAATGGTAAAACAAGGGTTCACCAGAACGGCCTCGGGAGAGACAGGGGCAGGGTCGGGGGCCTGCGGGTGAGGTTCGGTGTTCTCTTCTTCCTCAGAGTCACCCTCAGTGCGTCTACGTTTAGTCTGAAGCCTGCTAGGAAGCGCCTTGTGCTCCTCCTTGGCCCCTGTTCGAAGGCGGCTCGGATCCGGTTCAAGAATTGCGCTTTGGACCAGGCTCCCACCAGGGGGAACGAGCATTGGTAAAACAACGGCGCCAGAAACGTGACAAAGCTTGAGTCGAAATGTTCAGAAACATTGTAAACGGACACGTTAATTACAACAAACATTGCCTTGTCGCTTCCAGGGCCCATTAAGGTCCAGCGCCGACCCAAGCAGTACATATGAGCCTCCGACAGTTTTCTGGTTGTGCTGCATGGTGGTTATCTAGCTCCTCCGCTTCCCAGCCCTGTGCCGCGTAGCGTCGTGATGCTATGCCACGCACGGCTGAGCGTCGAGCAAGACGACGGCGTGTGAAGCAGATGTAAGGCAACTGGGAAACGACCTACACAACAGCAACAATCACAACAACAGCAACAACAACAACAACAACCATTTTAAGGCTGTACGCTCTTACTTGCCCGCGAGTCATTCAACACGTATACCCTACACCCTCGAAACCCGCCCTCTTCGTCTTCGATCACACCCCTTTCGGGGGGATTATTTCTCTTTGCTGGGGCCGGCGGGCTTAGACGTACGGGCAAACCGGAACGGGCGGACAATCCTTCGGGGGCGTACATCTCTCTGCCCGCCATTGGAATTGGCGCGGGCCCTGCAAGAGGAGGAGGGGAAGAACGAGGGAGAGTGGGAGGAAGGGGAGGGGGAAGGACGAAGGAAGAGGGAAGATACCACGTTGTGAAGGCGTCCTTGGCGCGTGCGTGGTTCCTGAGCGCCGAAACGCAATTCCAGAATAATTTGTGAGGACGTCGCACGCGAGAGCGCAGTCCTGAGTACATTGTGAGGAAATCTCGGGCGGAAGCGGGGGCCCTGACTAAGTTGCGAGGAAGTCTCAAGCGGGAGCGCCGTTCCTGAGCAAATTGCACGGAAGTCTCAGGCGGGAGCGGGGGTCCTCACTAAATTGCGAGGAAGTCTCAGGCGGGAGCGCCGTTCCTGAGTCAATTGCGCGGAAATGTCAAGCAGGAGCGGGGGTCCTGAGTAAAATTCGAAGAAGTCTCAGGCGGGAGCGCCGTTCCCACGTAAATTGCACGGAAGTCTCAGGCGGGAGCGGGGGTCTTGATTACATTGCGAGGAAGTCTCAAACGGGAGCGCCTTTCCTGAGTAAATTGCGCGGAAGTCTCAGGCGGGAGCGGGGGTCCTGAGTAAAAATCGAGGAAGTCTCAGGCGGGAGCCGTTGTTGTTGTAGCCCGGGGGGCAGGGGCACAGTTTGAGCAGGAAGACTTTCCTTGAGAAAAAACAAGGTGCGAGCCCCGGGGGTGGCACTTCAATCGAAAAAAATCAATGTGCACCGGTGGGGGGGGATCAACAATAATTATTCTTCAAGAATGAGAGTTCAATAACAGCAACAACAGCAGAAACAACAGCAACAACAGCAACACCAACAACGACAGGAACAACAAGCAGTTTAAGACGGTTTGCTCATATCTGCTCGCGTGCAAGTAAACATCTATATATACATATATATGTGTGTAGATGCATATTCATATGTATATATATTTATATGTGTGCATGTATATGTATTACCTGCTACGTGTATTCCATGCAGCCCCACGGCAGGGGAAGAGAGAACGGATGAAAGAATGGGACAAGGGGGAAGGAGGAGGATGGAGCACGAGAGAGACTAGCACGACGGGAGATTTAGGAGCAGAAAACATTTGGCAGAACCAGACGGGCAGATCGGGCGGTAGAACCTAACAGGCGGGTCGGGAAGGCGGGCCCAGAAGTCAAGGTCGAGCAGGCGGGATGCTGAGGCGTGCGTCCTGCATGAATCGCGAGAAAGTCTCGAGCGATAGCGCGATTTCCAAGTAAAACGCGAGATGAGCCTTAGCAAGTGGGTGATTCTTGAGTGTCGAGGGCGCGGCGTCTGAATAAAATGCGAGGAAGTCTCACGCGGGAGCGCGATTCCTGCTGAAGTTGCAAGGCAGTATCAGGCGGGAGCCGCTGTCGTTGTAAACCGGGGGCCACAGACAAAAAATCTGAGTCCCAAGATTTGTTTCTAGAGGTCGCAAAGGGGTGTGGTATAAAGGGATGCGGTGCCAATGCTGAAAATGGTGATGTTATATACGATAGCCGCAATTGCGTTGCATCCCCACTTCAACAACGTTGGCTCGACGCGGACCGCCTCAAGTAACGTAAGAGCTCTTGATCCAACTTCCCTAAACGACCGCAGGTTTATGTGAACGGCAACACGACACCTGTCCCCGGACGCCCGATCACCAAGCACGAAATTTCCAAAATTCCGAATCGCGAGAAGCGCCATTCCGGAATTTCCGTATCGCCCGCTTCAGAGTGCGGATGGATTTCATGATGTGTTCGAAATTGTTGACGAGAAGGCCAATGAACGTGGTTCTGCTCATGTCTTTCGGGTGGTCATCTTCTTTGACCACGTGCTCCAGGGCCTCCTCCATTCGCTGGGGCAACATGGTCATGTTGTTGAGGCCTGCCTGCACAAACGAATCTAAGATCGGCGAAATCTTGACCACGGTGTCGGGCGTCACGTGGGACGGCCTCGAAACGAGCTTCGCGGGCACGAAAAATTGGCTGAAAGGTGCTTCTCAAACCCATGTGCTTCTCAATGCATTCAATGTACTTGGAGGTCGGAACTTGCGGGTTGGCCACCTGCCGTGGCACGGAAGATACCATGGTTACAAGGAGCACGCCGAATGCACAGGTGGTGCGCGACTACACGGAATTCAGAGCCAAAACGGCTGCGGATGACGAGGATGGTGGAGGATTTGGACAGGAGGATGCGGATGAAAGCGGATCGCCAGCAGCAGCAACGAGTGAGGGGGGATGAAGGCGAAGAGGCAGAGCAGCAGGACGAGCAGCGAAGAGCAGAAATGATCCCGCTCGATACGTCTCTCAGTATACTCAGATCCGTTTTTCTCAAAGGCGTCCTCACGCTCAGGAATTTGCACTCTCGCGAAAGACTTCCTCACATCTCAGAAGGCCCAGAGTGAACGACAACGTCGGCAACGGTCACATGCAGCTCGACGCGCCCTCGCAAACTACCCAGAGATCGGGCACAGAGATCGGGCACGGTTCCCAAAAACTTTGGGGACGGTTCCCAAAAATTTCGGGTGCGAAGATCGACCCGAAATCCCGAAAACACAAACCCTAGGTCAAAAGATCGAGCCAGAGATCGATCACATTGATCGAGAAGGATTTCTGGGCAGCCGGATGCATAGGG